TTTTTCAGGCAAGCCATCGTATTTCGTTGCCCGAAACAGGTGTTCCCTGTGAAGACAGGGTTCTCCCTTTTTTTTTGGGGGGGGGGGGGTGTTTTTTTGTTTTTCGGTTTTGTTGGGCGTTTGATTTCCAACGAGCCGGAAGAATTAGAACATGTGTAACAACCAGAACACCATTGAAAAGCGATCAACCACATAAAACACTTGCGGGATCCTGGTGCTTTCACAGGGATCACCTGGGTGATCCCTGTGCTTGCACAGGGGTCTCACTCCCGTTTTATTCCCCATATCCTAAGATGGGGTTCTTGTTATTCCCCATATCCTAAGATGGGGTTCTTGTTATTACTTGGACGCCTCCTACTCCCTCTTCCTCCTCTTTCCTCCTCCCCTCCTCATACTCAGACTTACTCATACTCAGACTTACTCATACTCAGGCCTACTCATACTCAGACTTATTCACACTCAGACATACTCATACACAGACTTACTCATACACAGACTTACTCACACCCAGACGTACTCATACACAGACTTACTCATACCAGACTTACTCATACACAGTCTTACTCATATACAGACTTACTCATACCCAGACGTACACATACACAGACTTTCTCATACACAGACCTACTCATACCCAGACTTACTCATACACAGACTTACTCATACACAGACTTACTCATACTCAGGCATACTCATACTCAGACCTACTCATACTCAGACTTACTCAACACACATCAGATTTGGAGGATGTCTCAGGCGGGGCGCTGGTTTCAGCACCCCTAAGGGGAGCCGCCAGTGGTGATTGCACGGGCTCGTTCGCGGCCATTTTGTGGGGATGTCTCAGGCGGTTTGCTGTTTCTGGGCTCAACATCCTTCGCTTTCGGAGCAGATTTGGAGGATGTCTCGAGCGAGGCGCTCATTTTCACCCCCCATGTGGGCCAGATTTTGAGGATGTCTCGATCGGTTTGCTTGTTTTGGTGGCCAGGCTCGTGGCCCTAAGGGGAGCCGCCTGCACGGGTTCGTTCGCGGCCATGTCTCAGGCGGTTTGCTGTTTCTGGGCTCAACATCCTTCGCTTTCGGAGCAGATTTGGAGGATGTCTCGAGCGAGGCGCTCATTTTCACCCCCCAGGTGGGCCAGATTTTGAGGATGTCTCGATCGGTTTGCTTGTTTTGGTGGCCAGGCTCGTGGCCCTAAGGGGAGCCGCCAGGGGTGTTGCACGGGTCTCGTTCGCGGCCATTTTGTGGGGATGTCTCAGGCGGTTTGCTTGTTTCTGGGCTCAACATCCTTCGCTTTCGGAGCAGATTTGGAGGATGTCTCGAGCGAGGCGCTCATTTTCACCCCCCAGGTGGGCCAGATTTTGAGGATGTCTCGATCGGTTTGCTTGTTTTGGTGGCCAGGCTCGTGGCCCTAAGGGGAGCCGCCAGGGGTGGTTGCACGGTCTCGTTCGCGGCCATTTTGTGGGGATGTCTCAGGCGGTTTGCTTGTTTCTGGGCTCAACATCCTTCGCTTTCGGAGCAGATTTGGAGGATGTCTCGAGCGAGGCGCTCATTTTCACCCCCCAGGTGGGCCAGATTTTGAGGATGTCTCGATCGGTTTGCTTGTTTTGGTGGCCAGGCTCGTGGGCGCAGATTCTTCTCAGGATGCCACAGGAGGCTCCAACAGGCTCCAGGAGGCCCCAGGAGACCACATGAGGTCCCAGGAGGCATCAGGAGGCCACAGAAAGACTCAAGAGGCCACAGGATGTCCCAAGAGGCTCCAGGAGGCCCCAGGAAGCTCCAGAAGGCCTCAGGAAACCACAGGAGGCCCCAGGAGGCAACAGGAAGCGCCAGGAGGCCTCGGAAGGCAACAGGAGGCCCCGAGAGGCCCCAGGAGCAGGAGGCCTCAGAAGGCAACAGGAGTGGCTCCAATCCCATGTGTTTTACGTATGCTCCTATCGATTGGGCCTCACCTGGAGCACGATTCTTTGATGTTCTACGTATGTTTCTATAGATGGTCCTTCTCCTGTGTACACAATCCTAAATGTTTTACTCATGTTCCTATGTATTGGGCCTCTCCTGGGGCACGAGTCCTTGGTGTTTTACGCGTGTTCCTATATATTGCCCTTCTCCTGTGGCTCTAATCCGCAATGTTTTATGTACGTCTGTTGCTATAGATTGCGCCTCTCCTGGGGCACGAAACCTTCCTAGGAGGTCCCAGGAGGTCCCAAGAGGCTCCTGGAGACCCCAGGAAGCCCCAGTAGGTTTCAGGAGGCCCCAGGAGGCCCCAGGCTCATGCACAGAGACGCGCTCGTACTACTGAGGCTCATTCACACTCCAATTCATTCGCAGTTAGATTGATGTCCAGACCGTCACAACTGAAGCCCGTTAATATTCGAAAGCTCTTGCGCCTAGACATTCACGGCGGACAGGTCCATGCGAGTAGATGCACATATGGGGAGCTCCACGCAGTGAATAATTACTTAGACGCCTCCTACTCCCTCTCCCTCCTCCTCTTTCCTCCTCCCCTCCTCCTCTTTCCTCATACTCAGACCTACTCATACTCAGACTTACTCATACTCAGACTTACTCATACTCAGACCTACTCCTACTCAGACTTACTCACACTCATACATACTCATACACAGACTTACTCATACACAGACTTACTCACACCCATACGTACTCATACACAGACTTACCCATACCCAGACTTACTCATACACAGTCTTACTCATACTCAGACTTACTCATACCCAGACGTACACCTACACAGACTTTCTCATACACAGACCTCCTCATACCCAGACTTACTCATACACAGACTTACTCATACACAGACTTACTCATACTCAGGCATACTCATACTCATACACACATCAGATTTGGAGGATGTCTCAAGCGGGGCGCTGGTTTCAGCACCCCTAAGGGGAGCCGCCATGGGTGTTTGCACGGGCTCGTTCGCGGCCATTTTGTGGGGATGTCTCAGGCGGTTTGCTTGTTTCTGGGCTCAACATCCTTCGCTTGGAGAGCAGATTGTGAGGATGTCTCAGGCGGGGCGCTGGTTTCAGCACCCCTAAGGGGAGCCGCCAGGGGTGTTTGCACGGGCTCGTTCGCGGCCATTTTGTGGGGATGTCTCATGCGGATTGCTTGTTTCTGGGCTCAACATCTTTCGCTTGGAGAGCAAATTGTGAGGATGTCTCAGGCGGGGCGCTGGTTTCAGCACCCCTAAGGGGAGCCGCCAGGGGTGTTTGCACGGGCTCGTTCGTGGCCATTTTGTGGGGATGTCTCAGGCGGTTTGCTTGTTTCTGGGCTCAACATCCTTCGCTTGGAGAGCAGATTGTGAGGATGTCTCAGGCGGGGCGCTGGTTTCAGCACCCCTAAGGGGGGCCGCCAGGGGTGTTTGCACGGGCTCGTTCGCGGCCATTTTGTGGGGATGTCTCAGGCGGTTTGCTTGTTTCTGGGCTCAACATCCTTCGCTTGGAGAGCAGATTGTGAGGATGTCTCAGGCGGGGCGCTGGTGAGGATGTCTCAGGCGAGGCGTCTTCGTCGGCCCTGTCGCCCACGTGGACGCGCTATTGTAGTCGACCGCTCATGAACAGACGTTCACCACGGCATGACATAAAACATGAGATGCACATATGGGGAGCTCCACGCAGTGAGTAATTGTTTCTTCTTGAACATTAATAATTTTACAGACAAGACATGGTTTTCGTTAACAGAGCCAGATCGTCCCTGTGAAAACAGGTTTCCCGCATTTCTTCGTCCAAAAATACATGGTTCTTTTCTGATTGTTTGTTTTTGTTTCGGGTCTGTTGGATTTTTGATTTACAGCAAGCCAGAAATCGGAAAACTCTAAATCAAAATCCTCATCCAGAGAGTCACGGCAAAGGATCACACGCAAAGGCTATGCAAGAAAAGAGACAACGCAACGACGATAACAAGACCAAGCGGGAAAGCTCAAACACAGATTTTGTGAACCGCCCTACCATATGTACATATATACATCTCTCTCTCTCTCTCTCTCTTTCTCTCAAGATATATGTATGTATGTATGTATGTATGTATGTGTAGATATGTAACAATAATAATACAAGTGTTTGAGGACTTCGCCCTCTTCGGCCGGGCCCTTCTCTATCTTAATGGGGGATGCCAGAAATGTGCTGGGACGTGCCGGCGCTGTTTTGAGACCTTCCTGGGAACATCCTGGGAGGACGATCGGCATTCAGCAGGCAACTTGAGAGGCTGGAGTTGTAACTGAACGCTTGGTTTCTTCTCAGGATCCGAATCTGGCGTGCTCTCTTGGGGCTCGTGGCCTAGGGAGCGCGAGCCTGGCATCATTTCCGTAATTTCCAAAGGGTTTCTGGCATCAGAAGCGCTAGTTTGGCGTGGTTTCCAAGGGCTTCTGGCTTCGGGCGCGAATCTGGAGCTAGTGAGAGGGTGTTCTGGCTTCGGGAGCGCGATTCTGGCGTAACTTAACAGGAATATGGCCCTGGGGATGCGAATCTCAAGTACTTGTATTTGTCCAAGGGCCCCCTAGGGAATTCTGAGAACCCCACGTCTGGGTGGTAAAAGGGCGGGTTTCGGCTCCACACCTCTCGCGCGGATCCGTAGCAGTTTACATTAAGAAGCATTGAGTCTAGTCATTGGACATTACTTTACAAACCGCAGAGCAACTGTGACTGGGACCGCGGAACTCAGGATTGGCATTTGTGCCTGAAGCCCGATCATCGCAACCTTGTGGTCCACAAGGGGACCGTCGGATATATATATATATATATATATATATATATATATATATATATATAACATGTGTCTATACACACATATAGGTTTATTTATGTATTTAATTATCCATTTATTTATGTATATATATATATATATATATATGTAGTGTATATGTGTGTGCATCTGTGCACATTATATATATGGTGTATATTTATATTATATACACATATATACGTGTATATATACACATAGATATGGATGTGTCCGCAGTCCCCCGTGGTGCCGTCTCCTGCGAGGCCCTCCCCGAGGAGCAGCCGTCGGGGAGCAGGCGCGCGGAGGACAGCCCGAGGCCGGTCGCCAGCAGGACGCCGCGAGGGGAGGGGTGCCCGCGAGAGGGGCGGGGCGCAGGGGAGGACGAGGTACCTTCGATGCTCGTTTTGGGGACCTTCCTGGGGCCCACCCAATGGATCTGTTCGACTCAGGTTCGACTCAGGTTCGACACAGATTCGAGTCAGATTCGACTCAGGTTCGACTCAGGTTCGACTCAGGTTCTACTCAGGTTCGACGCAGCTTCGACGCACGAGTGGAGCGAGTGGCTCCAGGAAGGTCCCCAGAATGAGCATCTAAGGTACCCACACAGATGCCTTTCCCCAGTTTCTGCCTCTTCGGGCCTCCTGTCGGGGGTGGATAGACCTCCTGCCCTGGCACGTCGATGAAGGAGTTGGCCGTTTTCGGTTCGCGAGAGGGCGTCACAGCCGGCATTTTTGCGGGTCCAGGTCCGTCGGTTTCGGTCCCAGGCCGTTTTCACTAAGGGGAGGTTTACTAAAGGGAGGTTTGTCCACCGCCGATCCTGGGAGGTCCTCGGGGCTCAAGGGGCTCAAAAGATGAGGGGTCAAGAGACGGGGGTCAGTGCCAACGGGGGTCAGTCAGAGCGCCAGACCTTGCCGGGTCCTGCAACGCCAGGGCTGCATTGACCTGGGTTTGGGCGCAGGATCCTGCAGGATCGCGCAGGATCCTGCAAAACCTGACTGGCCCGGGTCTGGATTGACCCGGGTCAGTAGATCCCCGAAGGTACCCACACAGATACCTTTCCTTCGTTTTCCCCTCTCTGGGCCTCCTGGGAGGCACTCGTCGCCGCCGCTGGCTTCGCCTCGGAGTCCTGGTCACAACGCTCCCCAGGAGAGGGCCGTGGAGTAGCCCTGTGGGGCGCGAGAGGCGTGTTCTGGGGGGGGGGGGCTGATAGGGCCAGGGGGGTGGCCCTGGATCCCGGACCCCCCAAAAAAATAAATCCAAATCCAGGTTTTTCGACATCAGTTCTGTATAGTTTTGTGCAATCAACGAGGAAGCAACGCGAATGCGCGTTGATTGTGCGCAAAAAAAAAGAGAGGCAGCACCCACCAAGCTAAGACCAGACTCTGACACGAAATCATCGGATTTCGCGCTCGCCGCGCCGATAAGAATGCAGTGCGCTGCGTTTCCGACTTGTCAAGGCGAAACTCGCCATATGCACTCCCGAATGTGTAGTATTTGTCTGGGTTTGAGGAGGGATAATGAAGGAGGAGAGGTGATGCGGACAAAACCGATATATAGGGAGGAAGAGGAAAGCAGGAGGACATAGGGAAACTGCAGAGAAGGAGCACGAGGTATGAAGGAGGGTGACCTCTTGCAAGGGCCCTTAGTTGTCGGCCGTGCTGCTGCTGCCACTGCTGCTGCCGCCGCTTCGCAGATGCCGCTGATCTCGCTGCTTGAGGGCCCTCCTCCTCCTCCTCCTCCTCCTCCTCCTCCTCTTCCTCTTCCTGGCTCCTCCTCCTAACCCGCCTCCCCCTCTCTTAAACCCCTTCCTGACTCCTCCTCCACCTCCTCCTCCTTCCTCCTCCTCCTCCTCCTAACCCTGGTCTGCTGCTGCTCCTCCTCCCGCTCTTTTCATGGGGCGCCATTTTCCGCGGGCCGTGACTGGCTCGGGCTTGCCGCCGTCGGATGTTGCTAAAGGTACCCCTAGCCTGACGTGCCCCCAGCTTTTCGACGACTTTTGGAGCCCCTGGGGCCCGCTGGGGCCCGCTGGGCCCCTTGGGCCCGCGTTGGGCGCCGCGGGGGCACCCCTGGAACTCCTTGGGGGCGCCGTGGGCCAGGGGTACTCTTGGCAACATCCGGGAGCTCGGCGCCGCCGGCGCCGCGGCCCTCGGGGGCGCGTCCCACCCTGGGATGAGGAAACCAACGCAGGTCGGCTATCTTTGTTTTTTTCTTGAGGACGAGGGGGGGGGGGCAAAGGAGGGCCAGGATAGCTGACGTGCGTTATTTTCCTCTCCCCACCGCGCCTCGCCGCCGCCATGGACATCCTGGACGACTTCCTGGCTGAGGAGCCCATCCCATTAGTTGCCGAGGAGGGTGGAAGTGGGCACGGGGCACGGGGGCAGGCAGAAGGAGGAAGAGGAGGAAGAGGAGGAGGAGGAGGAGGAGGACGAGGAGGATGAGCAGGAGGAGGCGAAGGAGGCGGAGAAGGCGGAGAACGATGAGAGACAGGAGGAGGAGGCGGAGGAGGACGAGGAGGGCGAGTAGGAGGCGGACGAGCGACGAGAGATAGGTCGCATACGAGAGGACTTTGTGCCGCCAGATGTTACAGCCTTCCGCTTTCGCCCCGATGTGTCCCTCGTCCGGGGAGATCATCGAAAACATTTTTACCAGGATTCAAATCGTTAGATGTTCAAAGTATTTTTCAGATACCCTCAAAGGGGGGATCTCGAGATCCCCCCTTTGAGCGTTAATCGAATATGTAGTGGTTTGTTCATAGTTTTTAGC